CACAAGATATGCTTTACAGTTCCCACTCCTCTGCTCCCCAGAGGCACATCTCGTGTAGTAAACCAAAAACACTTCTCCTCAGGGCCTCCGAGCTGGAAGAGGGATGGGGGGGGGACTTTGGTTTTCATTGTTTTAAGAATCAGAGCCCCTTGGTGTGTAGTTCCTCCTGATAAATATTTCATGGGCTGCACCATTAAGATCAAAGCAAAACTCAACTGTCGTATTGTTATGATTCCAAGGAGGGAACTTCTAAATATTCCCCCTCTGCTGCTCTCCTCATTAGGTTCTACTCAAATGTAAACAGAAGTGATTTCCAAGGTTTCTTTATTATTATTAGTTAAGAATATTCGTTCCATATCCTGATAATAGGTTTTAAAAGTGGAAATTTACATTTTTGATGTGAAATAATCAGCTTCAATAAGCTGCATAACCTTGACATTTTTTATTTAAAATTTAGAAATACTTTGAAATCTTTCTATTTTGAAGATCTGATCTCCTTGAAAAATCTTTACTGTCTGCTTTTTATCACAGAATTTTCTTTTTCTTCTTTCTTTTTTTTAATTAATAGTGCAAGATATGTGATTAACACAAGGACAGGAAGACATATGAGACATGACAAGGCAACAGAGAAATAATGACAGCAACCAGGGTAACAACAAAATAAATAAATAATGATAGTAGAGAGGAGTAGAGATTGAGACGATGAGATTTCACCTTTAAATGTTCTTTTTGGTGTGTGTATGGGTAAGTGTGTGTGTGCAGAGATTGTGCAGCGTGCAAGGTTACTGAAGTTCCTAATATTCTTTGGTCTGACATGGAATGGCTGTCTCCGCTTAAATAACGGATGTTAAGGACATTCAAAACACCAGGGACAACCATGTAAATGAGTCCAGGACTTAATTTTCTATCTCTAGTCTGATAATTTTTTACTTAAATACATTATAATGTTGTTAATAAATCAAGCTGCACAGATGTATCTGTAAAAGATGCATGCATATCAAGAACATCTTAAACTGAGTCGGTACTTTTCAAGCTCTTTGGCTCATACACATTTCTCAGGATTAGTCTTAAACCGCATAAAAGACAGAAAATCTATTTAGTTTCACAGAGAGCTGTAATTGTCTTCAGTATTGACAGATGACTCTGCACTTTCTCCCTGCCTTTGTAGTCATAATAAAGCCTGGACAAACAGGAGACCTTTTGCACATGGTTTTGTTTACCTACATTATGTAAGGCGTGTGTGTGTGTGTGTGTGTGTGTGTTTGTGCGATACATGATACTTACCAGTGGAAGAACACATTGTACTCTGACCCCCATTGACTCACGCCCTGTTAGATGGAGATGATTTGACATTATTATGAGGCGATGCTTTCCTTTCATGTCTCACTTCATGTTTCGGCTCCTGTACCTCTGACATCCAAACCAGGAGCTCCCGTTCACCGTCACCACACTAGTGATAGAGAGATGATACCTATAAAGTTGACAGGCAGGGTAGAAAGAAGCACTAAATTTACATAACGTGACTTTACGTCTCTTTGAATGGTTGTCCCAACTCTTTTGAAACGATATCAGTAAGACAGAAAGAGTGTATGTTCTCAAATTGACGTAGGTATTAGCTGGATGACTTCAGATGTGGTATCAACTTTCATTTTTGCTCTAAATTTACGCAGGTTTTCAGTTTTGGTACATGTATCATTTACTCAGTGTCTGAATGCTGGCTGGATAGATCCCCCGTCTTCTTTCATGTTCTTGTTTTTGTCATCCCTTTCTTTTCTCCTTTTCTTTTCTTTGTTTTTTTGTTACATCCCCATGTTGGTAAAGCAAATCCACACTGTCAGTCACAGCTAGAAGCCAAACAAACACCAATAGAGTGATACAACTGAATGTAATAAAGCCCATATTAGAATAAACAAAGCTGAGAATATCATAAACTCCAACAGCACTGCTGATAACATCTCAGTATATATATACACTACTCACTGGTTATCACATTATGGACTTGGCAATCAGTTTTTACCTGATTATACTCTATATATTTTTTCTTCTATTTACTCTGGCTTGAGTATTGTTATTATTTAGTCTTTTTTTTAAATAAGAGAAACACTAACACATTTTTGGTTTTAATATTTTCATGGGATTTGCTGACACTAACAAAAGCTATAGAATAACACCAGCCTTATGCTTCAATAATGCAATAACACCAGCCACCAATGTAATAAGACACCGGCGTTGCTTTTAACGTTACATAACAGAAACAACCAGCCCAGTGTCTCCAGTACAAAACCTATTCTCCTGTCTCCCTGTGAATGTGTGTGTGTCTCTTGTGTGTCTTTGTCTCTCTCTTTTCTCTCCTTTCTCCCCTGCTAGTTGACTGGCCAGGCCTGTTTGTCCAGTGTCAGATAACCGTATGATACCAGGCCAAAACAGTGTTCAATTTTCTTCCATTTTGTCCTGACAGAAAGATAGTAGAATTCTTAGATTTATTAAAGATTACACGTTTGCCTCCATTGATCATGTAATGGTGGTCTAAATTGGCCATTTGCAGACAGAAATGGATCAGATATGTGCTTTTTATTAGATTAACGGATGCAGCATCAACAGTGACAATGCTGTCACTGACGCACATATCTCTGGGATGTTGACATCAATTGATAGTTTCAGGGGTGGTTGGGGGATTTGTACACAAGCCATAAAAAGCATCGTCCAGAGGTCCATGCTGTATGTTTGTTGTACATATTCAGGGCATTGTTTTTATTGTCCACAGGGGGATTTGCATGTTTTCATAATCAGACAAACAGAAGTAGAAATACCAGGATAAAGAGAGAGTTGGTGGAATTAAGACTTAAGCAATTACGGGTTAGACAATTACATGGTTTATTGTGTAATATTGTATAATTACTCCTATTTACATATTTTATATTGCACTGGAATAAATCCCACACCAATTCAGTCAAAATGGACAGTGGTGCAACAGTAAAATTGAACCACTACTCACTCAGAAAGTGATTATATTTTATTCTTCACCTGTTTCCATCTATTAATAGCTATTATTATGAAAATTATTTAATTGTTTTTGTTATTTTCATGTCAACTGTGCTGGCAACACATGTGAAATGTCAAAATGTCATTGTAGTGAAGATTACTGAATTAAATAGTGGCAGCTGTTGTTATGATGAAGGAAGTAGTGGTGATGATAATGGGGAAGATAATGATAATGATGAGGATGATGATGATGATCACAGTGGCGCTTCATGTGAGGGCGACGGCAGTGACAGAGGATGATGATAATAACTAAACGGTATGATAATGAGGCGTTGAGGATAGGAGCGAAACAGAGAGCTAAAGGTTGTTTTGTTTTGTTGTTGTGATCACTGAAGCACTTCACCTTTTCACACAAAGGTCACAACTTCACCAGGCGAGAAAGTGAATCATTGGGGTGTGTGTGTGTGTGTGTGTGTGTGTGTGTGTGTGTTACTACGCAAAACACAGAGCTGTTTTGGAGAAATGGTGTGTGATCTGTACAGTGTGACAATTTCCTTCTGATTAAACGGGTGTGGTGTCTCGCTGCCTGATGGCAGATGTGTGTTTAGTGCGTATCTGACTTTATTTATGCCTCTGTTCTTTCGTCTATATGTATCTATTAGCTCTTAGAGTATGCAGATGTTTTAGGCTGGCCTGTCTGTGTGTGTGTGTGCACAAATGTGTGCATGAGCGTGTTTCAGTCTTTATTGGTTCCCAGTGGGTCGAGTAGAGTTCCTGACCCCATTTCCTGCTGTTGTTGACAGAGAGACATTCAGGCCCGAGGCTCCAGAGAACCAGACACTGCCTGCAGGAGCTTCCTGTCACTGCTGCCTACAACCACTTGATTTGTCATTGTTTTGATTACTTTTTTCTTTTTTCCTGTTTGCATTCAGTCTTTCTGGACCATGAGGTCAGGACCCAACTGTAAGGGTGTAAGTGAGAGTCCCAGACATGAGAAGGGCTTCCCTATATTTCCTGTTGTCATGAGAATGGCAGGATTGTGTTGTCACAGAGCATGTATGTACAGTTTTGGAGGAAAAAATGTCTCTTTATGGACAAGGTGACTAAAATAGGGTGGATAGTATTAAGTGGCAATTTACTGATGATGACGTTTAAACATCATTTAGCTAACTCCAGAGAGTGAGAGAGAGTGAGAGAGTATACAAGAGAGCATGAAACTTTACTTTTATTTTGGTTACTGCCCAACGTGTGACAGTGGGCTCACATTAAGGGATCCAACATGGGATGAAAAAGAGTTTAGTAGACCTGTGTCATTCATGCTGCTGCTGTATGAAATAAAGGAAGTATATATCCAGCCCCTGTATTGTTAAAACAGAACATACAGTATGTCCATCACATCCCTGTTGGTTAGTTTGACCTCCTGACCGTTCCGCTTTGTCGATGCAGTTCCTCTATGTTTGGCTTACATTGTGATGATCCTCCATACAGTGTCTTCTAAAACATTCGAGGATTTTACTTTATTATATAAACTCATATCAAAGCGTTTGTTTTCCAGACCTCTTTTACAGCTGACAAATTAACATTTCACTGTTTTATCTGAATATAAAATATAAAATTAGGACACTACAGTATCTTAATTAACATGGCAATCGCTTTAGACCTTATGATACCTTTTCAATCCTATTTTTGTCCAATGGCCAGTCACCAAGCGTGGGAATACGGATTTACTTCTCGTTATGTTAACATTGTGCTGAAACTCGACCACAGCCAACAGGTGCCAGCAACCACAGCACTCTGTGTTATTGCTTAATGAATTTGTCAATCTAGAGCTGGAATTGTTACCCATTAACAAGTTCAGTGCTTAGTTTTACTGACCTTCTGTTGTCTGTTATTTTGTAAGACAATCTAAGGATGTTTTAAGATATTAAGACAAGTTTTAAGATAGTAAGACAAGTTCTGCTGTTGTGTTTCCAGACCACATGATAAACTCTCTGCATGTATCTTTGTGTTTGTTTCAGGTTGCTGCCAGAGTCAGCAGGCGGTTTGTTCAACAACAGGCAGGAGAGGGAGAGCAGCACCCAGTCTCCTCCCACCCAGCGCTACAGCTGCTATGACCTGGATGACCTGGACGTTGCCTGGCTGGAGCTGGTGAACCACGAGTTCAGACAGATGGGTGAGTGCAAACTGATTCGCTGCCTAATTTTTATAAAGCCAGAAAACATGTTGACATTGAACAGAAAAAAAACAAAAAACCCTCATCCCTAAACCTGCGCAAATGTACTGTCACAATAAAGTCTGAGATCAATGAAAACAAGTGAAAAATATCATCACAATTTCCAAGGTTCTGCTTCCAATTATAATTTTTCATAACCCAAAGATATTCTGTTTACAAGGACATAAAACAGAAGCATTCCTCACATTTTAGAAGGTGGATCCATCAATGTTGTGCGTTTTTACTTTATGAACGAGAGAGAGAAGATTAATTAGTTATCAGAATTATAGATTAATTTTCTGTCAGTAATCGATTAATCGACTAGCTGTTTCAACACTATTTAGTTGGGGCAGCACATAAACTGATAGTGAGAGATGCCATATTCTCTTTTGTAAAAACTGTTCATTATTAAAGCTGCTGATTGTTCTCTAACTGCCCCCAAGAGAACTTCAGTATTGAAAAAGCACTTTAAGTTATCTAAAATGTCTCTGTGTAATGTATTTACCATCACAGCCAGTTCATCAAAGGTTCCTGGAGGGATTAGACCAGCAAAAGGTTGTCTTCAGCTAAATGAGACTGTGTATCATTTCACAAAATGTAATCTTAGGACAATCTTCTTTCAGCCTCATGTGTGAATTGTCTTTTTCCACACCTGCCTATTTACAGCCACAGAACCATTAGTAGACATGTTCCATAAAAACAAGCCTTTACAGCTGTTTCTCTGACATGGGTTAGGGTTAGCGTTAAGCGGTCATCTCCTCCAAGCCAAATTTTTAAAGTCTTAAAATTTGTTTTCTGAAACCTGCAGATGCTCTAAATATACTATACTTTAACTGCAAAGTACATATTCTTTTCTTTCTTCCCTTTCCTCTCCTTATTCCCATCCTCTGCCCTGCTTTATCATCACCTGCTTCCTCTATATTCTCTCTTCCTCTTCTACAGTTTTGTGTCACTTTCTCTCTCCTCTGCTTTGCTACATCCTCTATTTTGCCATGGTGACAACTGCTGACCCCGAGCATCTCTCCCATCTCCACCATTTTATTCGATATCTGATCGGCTCTTTTCAGATAAAGCGTAGTAATTGTGTTTATAAATCCCCGCTGGGGTTTCAGGCCTTATTTCTGGGACGCATTGTCCTTAAATCAAACTCACACCCACACATGCACATACACACTGGCTCCTCCAGGAGCAGAAGTGGATTGTTTCTCATAACCTTCAATGCTAGACCAAACAAACAGACGGCTGATTGGTTCTACTGGGCGAGGCTATATGACTCTGGAGTCCTGATGGGATGATTCAGCATTTTCTATGTCGGACCTGTACTTACTGTATAAATCTATACAAGTGTGTTTTTTAGGGTGCTTTCACACCTAGCTTATTTGGTTCAGTTAAAATGATCTCTGTTTGCCTGGTTAGTTCAGTTCATTTGGGCTGGTGTGAAAACTGTCAGTCGGACCCAACAACCAAACTGACACCGCCCGAAAAAGTGGGTCTTGTGTCGTCTCTGGTGCGATTCGTTTAGGGTGTGAAAGCAAAGAAACCTACCACAGGATTTTATGGTAGCAGATATGTGTTCAGGGAGTGATCTTATAGGCCTAATTGTGTAAATGTTTCAATCATTTGGTAACCATGGTACCAAGTACATCAACAAGTGACTGCAGGTCTTTTTCTTGATCAATCTTAAAGTAAAAACTGTGCTCTGTTCAGCAGTTGTAGTTCAATAAGTTCATTGAAGGTGCGTTACATAGTGATCCCACATAAACACCTGCTGGAATATTGCTTTTGTATTCGATTTGCAGTCTCTTAATGACATTTAGAAGCATTTAAGTGCTGCATGACCTGCTGTCAGTCATTGGAAATTGATTTTAGGTCCTGATGATCCAAGATGACATTTGGGCCAAACAGTCCAATTAATGAGTTACCTGTCAGTGACTTCATGTTTACTCCTTTTGGTTTGTCTGTAAAAGGTCAGTGTGAACATGAACCTAACCAGGACTAAAATGCAAATGCAATTTTTTCCCTTGGTCTGGACCAGATTAACCAAACCACCTGGTGAAAGCACACTAAAACACTTTTGTCAGTTGTTGCGAAAAAACTAGCCCATTAAAGCAGCACAAAACACTGGAAAACACACAGTCTAACAGTAATATTAGAGAAAATACATTTACAATGCATTCAATACAATTAGAAACGTACATGAAATCACAAAATCACAAAAAGCCGCAAGACATTGAAAAAGTAAAGATAAAAAGTCAGTTTATCTGTCTGTGTGTGTGTGTTGGATGCTGTGAAGCTTTCAGACAGATAAGTGGAGCCATGAGCACACACACACACAGTGATGAATGTGTATGTGCATGTGCGCACAGCTGTCACATGTACAAACACGGAAACACACATAGAAGATAAATATAAAGTCAATACACTGAAAGCGCACACACACAATGTGCAGACACACACGAACACTGTAATGTATGTGAATCAGTGGTGTTACTTCCCTCCCTCGTGTGTGTGTGTGTGTGTGTGTGTGTGTTCAGTTGATGATGTAAATGTCACAGCAGGTTAATATTTAACTCTACTTCCCTTTTTCTCTGCTTCTAAATCCACAACTACAGTGCAATTACGCAGTTTCTTCTCTCCAGTTCGTCATTGATGCCAAATTCAAGACAAATATACGATTCAAACCATGACCTGTTTTCAACATCAGCAGCATTTGATTTTACATTTCTAAAGCATAAAAAAGTTTTTTCTGGTCGGGTTTGTGTGAGTCTAACCTCTACTTGTTTATGTGAACCATCAGCTCAGGTTGCACATTGGCTGTAAGATGCCCAAGAATCAGTAAATAAAATTGTTTATTTATTTATTTTTTATTTTTGGATGGGAAGGGATTGAGTCATATAAATAATAGATAGAGACACAGGATGCTCAGCTCCACTTTAAAAAAAACTCCCAACTGAGTGCTGAATCCTTCAAATAAATCAATAAATAATCCTCAACTACAGAATAAAAAGAAGCCAGGACAGCAGAAGTTTCTTTATTGCTGCTTGGAGCATTCAGGCGAAGCAATGAGAGGCGGTGTGATAACACTATGTAAATACTGAATATAAAAATTATCACCTTACTCATAATGTTTTCTATTACTTGAAAATCTAATCTGTGTTGGCATGCTCTTTACAGCGATGAGTCAGGATTTGTGGAATATTACAGTCCCCAGGTAACATCTAAAATGCTTTTTTTATGAACAGTTATCCAAATAATCTTCTTTATTTCAGAAAAAGACGCCAGATGTAATGCCTTACTGTCACCCATTTTGAATAATCATTGTAATCTCGTTCCACCTAATGAGATAATAGTACGCCACATCTCTGTGCCACCGACCTGGAAACCAGACTGTTTACTTTCCTGGTACCTCAAATACTAAACAAATAAAAAAAAGCTTGCATTTGCCAGTTAAATCAGTTTTCATCAACTATTAACCAGCCTTAGAGCAAGGCATTACTTTGAGATGCAAATGGAGCAGGAATACTAATGCTAATGCAGACACACGTTGGCGTGGTGAACTGAGCTGTCGGCAAGAAGGGCTTACTGGCAAATTTCAGTGTTTTTTGGCTTTGATAGGAAACGGGCTTGTAGTGACAGAGCACAGCCTTTCTCTGCTTTTCTCTGGTTAGCAGAAGAGTCGACTCCACATACTCCCACATCATGCAGCTAATTTTCATCACATTTTATCCTAAGATGGCCCAAAGAAAACAGAAAGTGACCTGTGTGAGGTGTACTTGCTAAGGAAAGCTGTGTGCATTTCCAATTAAAGTGTGAGACTGTGTTTTTAGCCAGAAATAACTGAAATTTAGTAAATTGGCTCACTCATTTTGAGTTTCCCATGAGCAGCTTCCCATTACTGTTGTCCTTGTCGATAACAAGAACTAAAAGAAACCCCTGTTGACCCTGTTACTGTGCTCTTAGTTTTAATTGCTTTGTACAGGCTCAGTATTTTCTCAAATATTCATCACTCCTTCCAGCAGCCATGTCTCAACTCAGTTTTTTGAAGAGTGGAGAAGCTCTGCATTAAGACATATTTCTCTTTTAAAGAAAAACATCAAGTGAATAATATGAAAAAGAAAAAAAATACACTTTAGTCACCTCTCCTTCCCCCGTTTTTCATCCCTGTCTTTACTTTTACCAGAGTTTTGCGGATAATTGGTTTAGAGCTTGTCGTGTTTGAGAAGATAAACGAAAACTAATCAAGTTTCTGCGTCCTGTCTCTCTCACCACCAGCGTTACCAGAGCTGGATGAGCTGACGATGGAGTGCGTTCTCGTCGAGCTGGAAAGCGTGTGCGATGAAAAGATGCGGCAGGCCATCGAGACGGAGGAAGGCTTGGGCATCGAGTACGACGAGGACGTGGTGTGCGACGTCTGTCGCTCGCCGGAGGGAGAGGACGGCAACGAGATGGTCTTCTGCGACAAGTGTAACGTTTGCGTTCATCAGGTCAGGAATTAAGAGATTGAGTGGCTTATCTCTCTGTTTAAGTGTGTTTGTGCATGCTTGTGTATTATTAAGAATCCTTTTGGATTTACAGAGTAAATTCTCACATTCTGAAAGCTTGAATGTAAAATCAAGGTTGTCCAAATACACAGTTTGGCAGCTGACACATTCTTTCTCCCACTGCCTTCATTTGTCAAAGCCATGAAAGTACATAAAATGTTCACAAATGGTGCCTGTGACAACCTGAGGCTTGAGGGGCTCTGCTGTGTTTGTTACACATTGACACAGTGTTAATTGTTCTGTCGGCCCCGTTGGCACTAGCACACCTTCAGTGTCATCAGACTGCCTCTGCTTACCTGCTGTTATGACACCGTATGGAAATAGTTACCGCCAACTGCAAACATTATCCTGTGTGGATCCATCACCTAACATTTCACTTACAGTGTGTGTGTGGGTGTGTGTGGGGTGGGGGGGGATTCCTACTTCCTGAGATACCTGGCACCAAATATTTTAACTATTGCCTAAGCTGTTGATCAAGAAGTGCTTGTTAAATGTATTGAAATGTCTCCTGTATATGAAAGGAAAGTGGAATTCTTTAGAAAAAGAGGGGAAACATAGTCATCCCATCCCTTGTGCATTTTTTTTACTTGACTTTATTAAGCAAAAAGATAGCTAGAACTTCATCACGCTTTGGCTCTATGTAATATTCAGACGGAAGTGCACGCTTCATTGTTTTTTTGTTTACATTTAAGGTACACAAGATACACTTTTTCAAACATTGTTGTATAACGCAACTCCACAGGGTAATCACTGTGTTTTCTCCGTTTTTATTGGGCAGAAGAAGAACTGCCAAACACTGAGGTGTCATGGAAACAAAATGTAACAAGCAGTGAAAGAAATTGTTGCTCCCAGGGAGTATTAAGTAATATTATTGCTTTTATAGAGTGAACACATTCAACGCTGACTGCTCTAACCTTCAGCAGGTATAAGACAGGCCCTGCTTACTGAAGTGTTTTGTTTGATCAATATGAAATCTTTGATCAATAAAGCACTTTAATTGCTTTTTATGAAGATGGAGTCTTTGATGTCTCACTTTATTTACTCTTGTCAGTGGGAAGTTTGTTTCTTTTTTTTTTCTTCCTTTCCATAATTTTATCTTCTTATAATTGAATAGGGTGAGCGATTGCATAACGAGACCTGGCATCAATATAGTTTTGGTGATTTTGTTAAACCAAAAAATGCTCGTCAGTGACCCTTTTTCCATGACCAAGATGAAACTTTGATGAGCTAAAAATAGATATGTGATGATAGGAACTATGATGAAATGTACGTTTTGTTTTTGTTGTTGAGACAGGAGTAAAACGTTCGTGGTGGGCTATCTGATATTCAAAAAATGCATGCTGTTTTCCTCCCAATCAATACGAGACTCAACCAGCAAGCCATAAAACTAGCAGGGCTGAGCTTCTTAGTGAGTTGCAAACAGAATGTGCAAGTCTATAGCCTACTGTCTTTTTTTAGCCCAGTTTTTGGCTGCATTGTGTGAGTCCACAGTTCACTGGATTTAACCTGTTTCCATGCACTAGAAGCACTGACCAGCTGAGCTGACCACTGGATGTGCTTGTTTGAATCCACAGCACACAGCAAGTGTGTGTGTTTGAGAGAGAGAGAAAGAGAGACAGAGAGAGGGGAAGAGAAAGTGGAAGGTGGGCTGTTGCTCGCAATGTTTCGAGATGTTATTAATAACTTACTCAGAACGCTGCTTTGTCACTTGACCCACTTGCCTGAAGTACTTGTATTTTCTAGTAAGTCAACCCAAACCTACTGGCTACTGTAGAAACATGGCGGTTCAACATGGCAGCATACCTATTAATATTACATTCCATTTCCCAATAGATCTTCCTAAATATTACACACTGGACCTTTAGGAGAGTGTTGATTTACAAATTTCAACCCTTTGATCCCAGTGTACGATACCTGTATTAGCATGATTGAAATAGTTTAAAGAGAGAAAACAACTAAAAATTTACTTAAAATGTAATGGCTTTTCATCAACTAAAACTATAAAGGATAAAATGGACTGAAATGTGACTAAAAGACTAAGGCTAAATAAAAATTGCTGCCAAAATTAACACGTGAATGTAGCGACAGTGGTTCCTGAAATTATCTGTTGTGGATGTCCGGGGTTTTTTTAAATTTACAATTTAATTTGGGCCTCAACTAAAGGAGCAATAGTTTGACTTAACCCGTTAGAAATGAGATTAGATAGATCTGACGTAGAAGTCAGTGGAGGTTAAAGAGTCCTTAAGAATGACTCACTCCCCACTGTAGAAACACTTTGAGACAGTTATGAAATAAATCATATCTGATAATAAAATCATTCTCTGTTTCTGACTCTGGGGACTGAATCTTATCAAAATCAACATGCTATTATCCTGGCATGAAAAATGTTCAGGGTACTCGTGCGTTAACGGAAGGGGAAATGGGTGGAGCACTGATGGTACAATAACCTGCTGTGTTATGAAAACAACACCAAGTGGCATTTTGAAAATGTCTTGTTTCCTTCAGTCGATGTAATTCCTGTTGAAAGTAAAGTTTTGGGCGGGACAGTAGTCTGGGGAGGAATTGTTTTGAGTGTTTTTGTGCGTGGGTTTGGGTTTTTTTTGTGTGTTATTGCAGCAGTAGTGCGCACAAACCTCTGAAGAGCTGTAAGATTAGATAAAAGGGGGAGAGAGGTGGAGTGTTTTGCTATGTGTCACTTTGAAATCAGTGAATTTGCTAATTTTATGTGACAGAAATAAGCAGCAGACTATAATTACTTTTTAAGTTTTCTGTTTAGAAGCAGCAACCGCTGACAGTATGCTACTTCCAAAACTGAAAAGATTCTGAAATAAAAACAAGACAATGGAGTGGGCTTGTGGTGTAGCTGGTTAAAATTCTGCTGTATATCAGGGTTCTTTCTCTCCTCCAGTCTGGCCACACTCGCACTTCTTTATTGAGGTGGTTAAGAAAAATGATTAAAATTATGAATATATTTATATGGCTTTTTAACATTTTTAATATTCTTCTTTATTTTCGGCAACAATTTTCCACCCTCTGATTGGGCTTTATTCACCTCTTGCCACTTTCTGCTCCAGTCTGAAATCAAATACAAAGTTGTGGCTAGCAGCATAAAGGCTTGAAGCGTCGGGAAACAATTTTTGGAACAACAATTGGCCTGCCTCTGTCCAAAGATAACAAAATCTGTAACACGTTATATCTCATTTGTTAATCTGTACACAAAGTGAATAGACGGACCCATCACCTGTCCTAACTATTGTTTCTCCCTTTTGCAGGCGTGTTATGGCATCCTGAAGGTACCCCAGGGAAACTGGCTGTGTCGGACCTGCGCTCTGGGCGTCCAGCCCAAATGTCTGCTCTGCCCCAAGAGAGGGGGGGCCCTGAAGCCCACCCGCAGTGGAACCAAGTGGGTCCACGTCAGCTGTGCCTTATGGATCCCAGAGGTGAGACCCAAGGAGAGACAAAAAATCTTAATACAGATAACCATTTCCTTCTTTTTTTGTTTTTTCTCATGCACGCCCTCAGTCAACCTGTGTGTTTTTGTGCTTAAGGTATCAAAATATTATTGAAATCGCAATATGGCCAAGTGCATATGCAAATCTCAGAAGCAATATGCAAATCGCACATGCTTTTGATAAAGGTAAACATGTGTGAAAAACAGCATTATAATGAAGTGCTGCCGAGGTGCCCTGGTCTACAAATCTTGTTCCATGGATTTAAGATTTGTTCGGTACAGACCAGGTGTTTTTAAGTGAAAATTCAATTTGTGATGCAAAAATGATCATTCACAAATAATCGTGAATCTGTCAGAAAAATCGCAATATGATGTTTTTACCATATCGTGCAGCCCTAGTAGTCCATTTCCTATAATTTGTGCTGAACCTGACTGTTCCAATTAAAGACAGATCTATAGGCACAGTGACTTCAATGTGGTATCATTTAATTGATCCACCGTTGCATTGTATTTATATATTTATAAGTCACACACCACACTCAGGAATCTAAATGTTTTTTTAGGCTGCACTTGAATGTCGGTGCGAAAGTGGCTCTAGAGAGTGAGCGGAGAAGAAAAACACCTGAAAGTGTGGTGTTTGACATGCTTTGATGAAGACCCACGCAGTGCTTATTTTGACTTTTGGACTTCTGCATCCATCTCTGAAAGCTCTTGTTGAAACTCAGTTGTACTCAGTGTAGATACAGTGGTTTCTTTTCCACCATTTGCATCCACAGGAACATGCTGTAACCAGCCATTCAGGAGTAAGACAGTCTCTCCCTTTAAGGAAGGAGCAAAAATACAGTGGCAGTATGAGAGTGGCCTACTACAGCACCAGATAGTATCCCTCCACTGCAGTTGACCAAGGAAACACTGACAATAGAAACATAGTGAGCGCAATGTTGGAAAACTACTACCCTCCTGATTTTGTTTTTTAAAGCCTCATATTAGCTTTGCATAAATTTTGTGAATCAGTTATTGTACAGATAAAAGACTGCAACATTTCTTACAGTGTAGTTCCTCAATTAAGGCATTGCTTCACAGTCAGTATGGAGAGGAGGGCTGATTACAGCAACTCGTAACTCTTTCAATCTACATATGGCTTGTGAGTGTACTCGAAAAAATCTGAAACAGGAGGATTTACGGGAAATGTGGCCTAGATATTGAGAAACACTTGCACCTGTCTGTTATTTTCCACCAGGGTTTCCTTGTTTACAGTAAATGCTTCAAATACTTCATGTAGCTTCTTCAGTCAAGATCTTCCTCTTAACAGTCCGCAGATAATGTAAATTGATTCACGAGGAACCTCTTTGTCAAGTATGTAGCCAAACAGCCGCTTATTTCAACGTGATGGGTCTTGATGATACCTTTTCGGAAAATGTCTCTCATCCGAAAGCTCCAAACGGACATAAAGCCGCTCATTTCAGAGGTTCAGGGACGGATGTTGCTTCACGCCTTGCACACACCTTTAAACTGTTAAGAGAGTCAGTCATGTGTCTTCAGCCTATTCAACAACACACTCCACCAGCAGATTTCTCAGTACTAGAGTAGCTTTTGGCAGCTCAAACCTTTTACTTCTAATTGCCTTCTGTCACCCTTGATTGGGCTAATTGTTTTCGTTGCTCCATTCGCTTTTGTTTTCTCTTCCTACCGTGGAGGGGGGGGGGGAAAGATAATTTGCATGTCTGTGCTGTATGTGCATTTGTGTGTGTGTGTGTGTCCTTGCAAAGACTCAGTCATGTGTGCTTGCATGAGCTAAAGAGTTGTTAATAGCAGCCATCTACACAAATAAACACACACATTACAACGCCGGCTAGTACATTTCTACCAAATATGATAGTAGTGGAAATTACCAGAAAAGGGGGCTCTGTGTGTGCCAGTGTCATTCATAGAGATTCATGTTTGTGCACGTGTGTGTTTGTGCTTGTGTGCGTGAACACACCACCCAGCCTTCAAACGATACAGCCCCCCTGCAGTGCTGTGTGTGTAGCTGCCTTCTACCCTCTGCCTTCACCCCCTAGAGAGAGGTCTCTCTTTAAACGGCTTTTTACCACACACACACACACACTGAAAGACGCAGAGCCCCTCTTTTAAAATGCCTTTTCATTCAGCACTGTGATTTCTACCCATTTCCACTGAAGTGGTTTCAAATTTTGTCAGTTTTCCATCTATCTGCTTTGAAATGTGAAGTAATTGGGGCTAGAATATGCTCATTCCCTGAGGCCTGCATGGGCTCACACACACACACACACACACACACACACACTCACATATATAGATACATACATAGAAAGCTACAGCGCAGACTTTTTAAACAATGACAAACCAACACAAGAAGGGAAAGTGGAGGAATTGTGTAAAGTGCAACCTTTGCGTGTGTGTATGGGCATCAGGTTTGAGAACAATCCAATCAATTAACTACAGCATTCAAAAACTGGAAATCCTTTTGCCATCGATCAGTACATCAGCTGTATAAAAGAAGCGAGCGTTGACGGCGACAGCTGTGGCATCATTGTCTGAAGTGCACTTTCTATTGACATCCTCAATGGAGTGAAAATTGACCCCTACTCCGATTGAGTGTGCTGTACAAAAGACATCAATAATAAAAGAAAAAAGCGAGGCTGTGGGCTTGTTCTGTGGATGAGCAGATGAGAGAAGGAAAAGAAAATCGGAGAGAAGGACGAATGGATGAAGAGAGGGAGGGGCATGACCTGCAGGAATCAGTCGACAGCTTGTTATTGCAAGCGTGAAGGACAAGGAAGGAGTGCCATGCCGCAAAATATGAGAATAAGTTAATGTGAAAGAGGTGGAATGGTTTTTGGAAAGAAATAAGCAGCGGAGGGAGGAAGGAAGAAATGGCACTTTGGTGATGAGTGCTCTCCACTCTATTCTGCATGGCTGGTTGGCACAGGTCAATGACTTTGGTTGTATTTGGTGGAGCAAGTTTTGGGGCCAAAGCCGTTCTGAATAGACCGCTCAGAGAGAGTGAGTCACACTGGGCTTTACAATAATGTTTTTCTAAGGAGCACAGGTGTCCCTGCTCTGGGTCCAAGGACAGACTTTCTAATTTGAGATCTTGGCTTTGAAAGTGGAAGACACTGTAGATAGATCATTTAAGCTACAATAAGTTGATTATTATCATTCAGTGGAACGTTTGGGGGAAATTTTGACCATTATGTGAGCCGTAAATTAATCCAGAAATTTGAATTGACAAGAATGATTTTCAGTACATTACATTTGTTGATGCTTTTATTCAAAGCGTCTTAAATTAAGTGCACAAAAACTGCAAGAATCAGACTCCATCAGATATGCTGATTTGCTTCAAGTACAACATTTAAAACAATAACAGAAGAGAATAAGGTGTTTTGTTTTTATGCTTTGTTGTTTTGAGCTAGTAATTGTGACATGTGAAATTGTACTACAAGGCATCACAGCTACCAGAAAATTAAATATTTACTGTAGAAAAGAGGGACTGGGACCCATGTTACTGACTGGCCACTCAGTACTGGTGAACGCTGTTAAAATATAGAGCTATTTATGTTTTTTTTTGGAGAAAAAAATACCACTTCCAGCTCCTTTTAATAAATGAGTCAAATTATTAATTGTCAAAATGTTTAATACATTTTCTGTAAAGTGGCTTAAATTAAGTAATTAACTAATCATTTCAACACTAAAGAATATTAAGATGTACGTAACTGCGATGATGACTGCCACGATTCTTATTATGATTATTTATCCCAGGCAACAGAATAAGTGAACTTTATTAGTGGATTAGTCTCCACACAATGTTAATTGTTTATCACAAATGGTGCTGTGTGTCAGATATATGTATTTCTAACTTTTCTGTTCCCCGTAGGTGAGTATAGGCTGTCCAGAGAAGATGGAGCCCATTACCAAGGTGTCCCACATCCCCGCCAGCCGCTGGGCTCTGTCCTGCAGCCTGTGTCGAGAACACACAGGAACCTGCATACAGGTACATCACAAACACTTATCTCTGCATCTCTGCATCTCTGCATCATGCAATCATGCTCAAACCTTTACCTGAACACAAATAAAACACATTTAGTTGCCTACTTTTAACCATCACTTCACACAATAACCTTAATCTTGATTCATTCATGGATTATCACTTTACAGTAAAATAATTGTCCAATCTTGGTTTTTCTTCTGTGGAGGAGGATTGTAATAGTCACATTCTGTTCAGATCATTCAGTTAATTTCCTCTTCCTCCTTTTTTCTTTTACTGCGTCTTCTTACTATTCCAGTCATCATGCCTCATGCATTCATCGGGAGGTGGCGTTGGAATGCAAACAAGCTTAAAAGTTGGGGAAAGTTTTAACTGTGTGTGAAATTCAGTATTAAGATTTAGTTTTTTGGAGTAGCATCAAAGTCTGAACCCACTCATCCTTACAAACAAATAAATGGGATGTACGTTCTGAAATAAAGCCATTAAAGCACACCCACACAAACTTGTATACCTATATACAGACACATAACACAGCAAAGCTCTTGCAGAATTGTTTTAAAGCATGAACTCACCCCACACACACACACACACACACTCACATTAAACGTCTTTCAACAACACAGATCATCATAGTTCTTAGCCTCCCGCTGGGCGCGGGTGGATCTGTTTGAACCTGGTACCTCTTTAACATGCTGCTGAGTACGCAAACAAAACCCCCACTGACATACTAACACTAACCCACTTTTACAGCTATTAGACTGCGGTCCATTCAGCATTAAAAGTGCCCTTGAGGTGAACTGGATTCCTAAAGCCCAATGCTCCACCTGCGTGTATATACATGTGTGTATAATGTATGTGAATATGTGTACATGCAAGCGTGTCCAGATGCAACTTGTTTGTGCAGCGGTGGGGGTGTTTGCTGTCACAGTATTGATGCTGTAGATTAACGGCGAGTCCTTGAGCTAGAATCACTCACAGGAAGTGAGTCTCTCTCTCGTGTTTCCCTTGCTGGAGGCAGGCGGGTGCACAAACACTCTCACTGATCAGTTGCCACCTCACACATAAGGTAGAGATGCAGCGCTACACAGCACCATGAGCAGCACTAGTCCTGTCTAGGCTTTAATGCGGGGAATGTTTGAAATGTCAAATCAGTTTTCTGTCTCGAAAAGTTTAGGCATAGGAGAGTCTGAGAGAGAATAAAACATAACCTTTTTTTCATAATTAGGTCATGGGCTGTCATTCAGACCTCCAAGAGTTTTTGAGCACAAATATAAGGCGCATTATCTTCATCCTTTAACAGACAACTTACAGCATATGGGTTACTGCCAATATAATGTCTGCCTTTGTGTTTCTAATGTACGACCAGATCAGACTACTTCTGATTTGCTATGTTGCCCTAAGATCTTCCACTTCAAGTCTTTGGTCATTTCATCCTTTGATAATTTGGTGATAACAAGCTTTCTTTCGTCTAATGATACGATATGTCTCTTTTCATGTGCTGTCAATTCCTCTTATGAATGTTCATACCTAAATATTTGTATTTAAAGACTTTTAATTGGCAAGTTCTTCAGGTGTAATGAGACTCTTTAATTTGCGCTTTATCAAAGGACGGTGCACTGGAAAGGTCAGCCAGTCAAGCCTGTACTGCATTTGTTAAAGCTCATAGAGAGTCAGTCTGTGAGCAATGGTTTTCAGTAATAGGCTGACACACTCAACTAATTAAGAAAGTACTTTTGCTTCATGGTTAGTTTGTCTTCTTCACAGAATTCGGAGGAACGTGGCAGCCCTTTAGATTTAAATACCTGTAGCTGTGCTACCTAATAGCTGCCGTTGGGTCAGTTATTCGGCTACAAAAAGAAAAAGTTTCCAATGATACCAATTAAGTCAGAGAAAAGGCAGAATTTGGGGGGGATTTGTATGAAATGAAGCACAAGGCATCTAGAATATTTCCATTGTTGCAGAACAAACATGAGTTGTTAGGTTTAAGTATTTCACAGTGTAAAAACGATACAGCTTCAGTGAAAAGCGGCAACATGACAATACATATGTAATACTCTAATACAGAGTGGAATAAGTTGATGAAGTCCAATCCCTGAGAGTTTTCCTCTAAGGGTTAATGGTTTAGCTTAGCTGATAGTGCTGTTGCCACACACCATGTAGGATACCACATGAAAGGTTAAAATCCAGCCAAATGTCTGAGGGTAAAAAAAAGTTTTCAAATGAAAATAGAGATAGTTCATGTAAGCCTAGAGTACAACTATGTATGAGAATCCTTCAATGTTTGTAGATTTAAGCTAAATCAAAGGTTTTGAAAATGAAATATAGCAGCACAAATCATAAATATTCCTCAGGTGTCAGGCTCTTTCTGCATCCAAGGATCAACAGTTCACATCTTCAGGAAAACTAAGTGATGGATATTGGCACAGATATACTTGGCTGCGGTGTCAAGTCCATGATTTCATCAGGATTTCTTCACTTGACAGGGTTAGAAATTAAATGTAGGCCTAGATTTTTATGACGGATGTCTTACCCTGAAGCCTGCCAGTTTAAGCTCTTAAATTCTGCCAAACAAGATATTTCGTGTAGTTAAAAAATTATTTGAATTTGCTGCTGTGTTCATAAGCCTGTGTCCAGTGGCCACCTTTTAATTTCTGAACAGATGCATGTGGGAAGTAATGGTGTTGTGTTTTTTTTTAGACAAATTAAAACTGTTGCGACTGAAGTGCTTCTACTAGACGTTGTGATGAGATGATAAAAATAATGATGAAAAAATTATTAACAAAATACTGTAGGTTAGCAGTGTAGGAGCGCAGGAAAGTAGAAATCAAAAAATATGAATGTTGAGTCAGGAGAGGTTTTGAAAACGTGCCAGGGAGAATTACACTTACAAATGTTCTGAGCACCAGTCTAAATGTAAAAGAGCTCTTTGCTCAGTGTAAAGAATGAGATGTATCAAATTAAGCAGCTTAACTCCTGTAGCGAAGTGTAGGCGTAGGTTAATTTTATTTGTTTGAAATACTCTTGCAGCAATTACCATGTGAAATTAACAAGTTATTGGGTTTAATATACAAACATATAAATAAGGATGAAGCTAAATAAAACGAAAAACAAACTGGAGCAGGGACAAATAATATTTCTCTTGCGTCCAAAATTTAACTTTTAACAGTTTGATAAACACAGGCCCCCATCTCTCTCATGGGGGGAAAGTAGAATATGATCGAATGATAATGTGACTGATATCCTTTTTCTCTGGTTACCTCATCATGCAAAGGTTTGAAGATAACTGCACAGTTACATGCTGCCCTCAGAGACAGCGTGGGCAGTGATAAAAACATAATTAATGAATCTGCTGCTGAGCAGGTGCCGTCGAAAAGGCCAGATGAGTATTTTTTTTGAGATGACTCGGCTCGAACCAAACAACACAGCTAGCCAGCTCCACGCTGTGTTCAACCTTTTGCCTTTTGACACCAAATAAGTGATAGCAGCTGCAGCGGGCTCAGTCTGACATTTGGGGAAGTCTGTTATAAAATGGGTCTACAGTGTAATCCTCTGACTAACAATATGCGGTTGTTCGATCCCACTTTCTGTCCCTACTGTTAAAATGTATTTTAAAGCTCGGTACAGAGTTCACAGCATCTGCCTCACTCGTTGGTAGATCAGGATGAGGGCGAAAAGGGTGAAATGACTAAATTAGACCTCAGTCACATTCTTTGGAAAAGTAGACAAAGTTTATTTTTCAGCAGAAATCCAAACACACACCTACTACTATGGTATTACTGTGCTAGCTACCCACTATATAACGGTCAAGTGCAGTTTTGTATGATGGACAGGGTTAGCTAGCAACCCTGTCCTCATTTGACTGGATAAATGAATATAACCGCCCCCAAGTTCAAAAGAAGTCATCGGAAATGTGGTTTACTTTTACAGGAAGACAAAAGAGAGGCCTTTTGTTCTAAAAATATTTTTTTATGAGGCAAGCAATAAATGAACCTATAAATGAACACTGTCTTTAAAGCCTGACTCAAAGTACAGAACCAAAAAAAAAGAATTCTCGCTTGCTTCCAGTGTTATTTTGCATGTTGTACCTAGGTGTTTTGATATATGTACATATATATCTGAAATTTCTGCCTCAAGTATAAATGAATGGAAATTGAATGGAATTTTGTGTGTAGTGCTCAAAGCTTCGGGAAAATTACATTAAAATGATTCAAACATCTACATCTCTTTCCACAATCAGGCTGCCATGTTCTCTGAATGATCTACAGTCAGGTTTCCCAACCTTTTTTACACTGCAGAATCTTTGCAGTTTGTATTTTCAAAATTTTGTTGCAGTTCCGGCCAAATGTTAGAAGATAAAGTAGACAGGAGGTATCCCATTTGTCTCTTTGTGGTTTCACATGGGTTCATATGCATGTTCAGAAGTTATTTAAGTTGTGGTCAGGCGTGATGTTTATGACACACAAATACACATAATTGTTGGACCTGTCTGCAGCACTCAGGTTGCAGCCTCATATAGATTTCACGTACTTCTGAAGGCTGACAGGTTATGATGATGAACTGGTTTACCTTGCATACTAATGACCGACTTTAGTTCAAAATCAGTGTATTGTTCTTAGGGGTGTGACAGCGAGTGATGAGAAAAAATGCAGCACAGAGTAGCCTACTTGTTTTTGCCGCATCATATAAACCACATTAGTAAATGTTCCACTGTTCCGTTTTCACACCAAGATAACATATGAATAAGGATGAGATCTGGATAAGCTCATCTGCCAAATTTTATTTTTAGTGTTTAACCAATTAAAAGCTTAACATTTTCAATGTAATCTTTGCCTCTCTTAAGCATTCTTTGTAAGAGTACAGTAGTTTTACTGTTAACAAAGACCTGCTGTGTATTTTAATTTTCAAAATAAAACTTTTGAAGTTGATGAAAGCCAGGGAAGGGAGACACAGAGAGGGAGAGAGAAAAGATTGTTTGTGAAAATGTTAAGACAGAAGTTGATTTCCAGACGGTGGAGTCAGTAGGATCAGTCAGGTTTTTGTCACCACGCTCATAAACAACACAGAGAAGACAGTCACCATCTTTCTGAATGCTGAACTCTCTGAAAAGTACTGACCTGCACACACACTTACAAATGTACATGTACACAGTGACAACAGCTCATAGCCACAAGGGGCTCACACATACACAATCACACTATGCCTGGAGGGACTCAGCGGTAGGGCACCTCTTAGAATGACCTGTAATGGATAGCACTGTGAAACACAAACACATACACACACACACACACACACACCCCAAGTTACCAAAATGTCAGCAGAAATGGGGGAACCGTGTTTGTTGTGACTTGGGTTGTCTTTCTGCTTCGCTGCACTTCTATTGGAACCTTGATAACACAAGAAATGGACCGAAAATGACACTTTAAAAGAAATAGTCATGACAAAGTGCCTGAGAAATTGAAGAAAAAATTGTCTGTGTGTTGTGTTTACATGCATATGACAGAGGTTAGGAGAGTAGTTGCAAGACGATAACAAAAACACATTTTCTACCAATCTGCTTTTTGATGATCCAAGAGACAGAATTAACAGTTGGAAAGAATTTTTTCTTCACTGTTTTACATTCCACTCTTCTTTGTTCCTCCCTACTTCCTTCTCATTGTACATCCCTTGTCCATCCATGACCAATATCACTTTCCTTCTTCCGTTTTTGCTTATTTATTCTGTCACTGCCCTTAACTGTATTTCCTTTATTTCTTCTCCTCCCAGTGCTCCATGCCCTCCTGTATTGTGGCCTTCCATGTGACGTGCGCCTTCGACCACGGCCTGGAGATGAGGACCATCCTGGCAGAGAATGACGAGGTGCGCTTCAAGTCCTTCTGCCTGGAGCACAGCTGCACCGCCAGCAACAGTGGTACAACAACCATCAACAACACCTGCAGTTTGGCCATTGTGAACAACAGCAACCACACCACCACCTCCACCACCAACGCAGCACACGGCCCAGCCAGACCTGACTGGGCCACCACCGGTGTCAGCTCTGAGCTCCGGCTCGACCAGCAGCACCAGCCAAACAGCAGCAGTGAACCGGAGCAGAGGTCTGTATTGTACCCGGTTTCAGTGTCGGCATCAGAGCGAGCTGAGCGGGACCAGCTGGAGAGAGAGAAGGTGAGCCAGAGGAAACAGAAGTTACAGGAGCTCGAGGACGAGTTTTACATACTGGTGGATCCCAGGGAAGTGGCCGAAAACCTGGCGCTGCCTGTCTCCCAGGTACGTCAAGTCAAGTCAAGTCAAGTCAACTTTATTGTCAAGTATGCTATACATGCACGACATACAG